TATCGACAGTTATCAGTTAAACACCAAACAGGACAGGCACCTTAAAGCAGGCATAAAATTGGAATGGTTATGGATGGTGTTGTTATTGGTGTTGCTGTCTAAACGTCATACAGTTCAAAGCTCGCACTTTGAAAGCATGTCCTTCTGGGACAGCGTACAAATACTGCCAGCTGGCCTTGAGCTTGTCACAAGGGAGTGCTTGGCGTTTGAAGGATATTTGTTTGCTACGCGATAAGGTTGTCTGTATGTGTGTGTGTGTGACAAAATGTTATGTTTGAACATATGTGTGTGTGAATCCCGTCTGTGTTGACATTGTATTGATGTTCAATATTTTATAATAATTCCAATAAAAAGCAATCATAATAAACACCATAAGGATTATAACAACATACAGGCTTTTTACACTACATGCACACACACAAACACACATAAAAATGTATGGTGGTAGGGGTGTGATTTTGAGGATCATAAATAATGTCATTAAAGAGATTAATACTTCATACATATGGAAATCAAGTTATTTATTTTTGGATATATAGTGGTCTTTGAAAAAAAAAAAAAATAATAATAATAAATTCACGCCATTGGTAGTCTTTGGAAAAAATATTCTTTAAAAAAATTGTCCCCTTCGGTAGTCCTAGAAAAAAATATTCTTTGAAAAATCGACAACTTTGGTAATCCTTGAAAAAAATAATCTTAAAAAAATCCACGCCCTTGGTAGTCCTTGGAGGAATATTATTTAAAAAACGTCTTTGGAAGACCTGAAAAAGTACTCTTAAAATTGAACGCTTTTTATAGTCCTTGGCAAAAATATTCTTTGGTAGACCTTGGAAAAAATATTCTTGAAAAAGTTGACGCCTTTGGTAATCTTTGGAAAAAATATTCTTGTAAAAGTCGACACCTTTTTAAGTTCCTTTAAAAATTATTCGTTAAAAAATCCAGGCCTTTTTAAGGTCCTTGAAAAATTATTCATTAAAAACTCCATGCCTCTTTAAGGTCCATAAAAAATTATTAATTATATTAAAGTCCTTGAAAAATTATTCTTTAAAGAATCCAAGCCTTTTTAAGGTCCTTGAAAAATTATCCATTAAAAAATCCATGCCTTTTTAAGGTCCTTCAAAAATTATTAATTATATTAAGATCCTTGAAAAATTATTCCTTAAAAAATCCACGCATACTTTGATCCTTGTAAAAATATGTTTTCAAATTCCACGCCTGTTTTGGTGCTTAAAAAATATTCTTTAAATAATCTACGCCGTTTTTGGCCCTTGAAAAAATATTTTTAAATATTTTGGTCCTTGAAAAAACATATTTAAAAAAATCTATGTCTCTTTTAGTCCTTAAATAATATTTTTAAATATTTTTGATCAGAGAGGAGGAGGGAGAGAGAGACAGAGAGGAGGAGGGAGAGAGATGATGATAGAGGGAGAGAGAGAGAAAAAGGAAGAGAGAAAGAGACAGAGCGAGGAAGGAAGAGAGGAAGAGGGAGAGAGGGGAGAGAAAGAGGGAGCGAGAGGGGTGGGGATAGAGAGGAAGAGGGAGGGAGAGAGAAAGGAATAGAGTGGGAGAGAGAGAGACGAAGAGATAGATAGAGAGCGAAAGCAGAAAGTGATAAAGAGCGAGAGAGGAAGACGATAATAGTGGGGGAGGAGAGAGATGAAGAGGGTGGGATAGAGAGGAAGAGGGAGAGAGACAGAGAGGAGGAGGGAGAGAGAGAATGAGGAAGAGATAGAGGGAGGGAGAGAGAAAAGGTCAATGACCCCAGGTCAAGAGGTCATTGACCCCAGTACAAGAGAGGAAGAGAGAGAAAAGGTCAATGACCTCAGGTCAAGAGGTCATTGACCCCAGTACTAGAGAGGAAGAGAGAGAGAGCAGGATGAAGAGAGAGAGAGGGAGAGAGACGGCAAAGAAGATAGAGAGAGGGCGGAAAGAGAGAGAGAGGATGAGAGGTGGATAGGAAGAGAGAGAGAAAGAGGGAGAGAGAGAGAGGAAGAGGGAGAGATAGAGGGGAAGAGGGAAAGATAGAGAGGAAGAGGGAGAGAGAGTGAGAGAGAGAAGAAGAAAGGAAGAGAGAGATAGAGAGAGAGAGGGAGAGAGAAAAGGTCAATGACCCCAGGTCAAGATCTCATTGACCTCAGTACAAGAGAGGAAGAGAGATAGAGAAGGATGAAGAGAGAGGGAGAGAGACGGAGAAGAAGAGAGAGAGAAAGAGAGAGAGAGAGAGGAAGAGAGAGAGAGACAGAGAGAAAAGGTCAATGACCCTAGGTCAAGAGGTCATTGACCCCAGGTCGAGAGAGGAAGAGAGAGAGAGGAAGAGAAAGAGAGAGGAAGAGAGAGATAGAGAGGAAGAGAGAGAGAAAAGGTCAATGACCCCAGGTCAAGAGGTCATTGACCCCAGGTCAAGGAAGAGAGAGAGAGGAAGAGAGAAAGGAAGAGATAGAGAGGAATAGGGAGTGATAGAGAGGAAGAGAGAAAGAAGAAGAGAGGAAGAGAGAGAGGAAGAGAGAGATAGAGAGAGAGAGGGAGAGAGAAAAGGTCAATGACCCCAGGTCAAGAGGTCATTGACCCCAGGTCAAGGAAGAGAGAGAGAGGAAGAGAGAAAGGAAGAGATAGAGAGGAATAGGGAGTGATAGAGAGGAAGAGAGAAAGAAGAAGAGAGGAAGAGAGAGAGGAAGAGAGAGATAGAGAGGAAGAGAGAGAGAAAAGGTCAATGACCCCAGGTCAAGAGGTCATTGACCCCAGGTCAAGGAAGAGAGAGAGAGGAAGAGAGAAAGGAAGAGATAGAGAGGAATAGGGAGTGATAGAGAGGAAGAGAGAAAGAAGAAGAGAGGAAGAGAGAGAGGAAGAGAGAGATAGAGAGAGAGAGAGGGAGAGAGAAAAGGTCAATGACCCCAGGTCAAGAGGTCATTGACCCCAGTACAAGACAGGAAGAGAGAGAGAGAAGGACGAAGAGAGAGAGGGAGAGATACGGAGAAGAAGATAGAGAAAGAAGAAGAGAGGAAGAGAGAAAGGAAGAGAGAAGGGAAGAGAGAGAGGAAGAGAGAGAGAGAGGAAGAGAGAGAGAGAGAGAGGGAAAAGGTCAATGACCCCAGGTCAAGAGGTCATTGACCCCAGGTCAAGAGGTCATTGACCCCAGGTCAAGAGGTCATTGACCTTTTCTCTCCCTCTTCCTCTCTCTCTCTCTCTTCCTCTCTCTCTCTCTCTTCCTCTCTCTCTCTCTCTTCCTATCTCTCTCTTCCTCTCTCTCTCTTCCTCTCTCTCTATCTTCCTTTCTCTCTCTCCCTTCCTATCTCTCTCTTCCTCTCCTTCTCTCTCTCTTCCTCTCCTTCTCTCTCTTCCTCTCCTTCTCTCTCTTCCTCTCTCTCGTCCTCTCTCTCTATTCCTCTCTCTCTCTTCCTCTCTCTTTCTGCCTCTCTTGACCTGGGGTCAATGACCTCTTGACCTGGTGTCATTGATCTCTTGACCTGGGGTTATTGACCTTTTTCTCTCTCTTCCTCTCTCTCTATCTTCCTCTCTCTCTATCTTCCTCTCTCTCTATCTTCCTTTCTCTCTCTCCCTTCCTATCTCTCTCTTCCTCTCCTTCTCTCTCTTCCTCTCTCTTCCTCTCCTCCTCTCTCTTCCGCTCCTTCTCTCTCTCTCTCTTCCTCTCTCTCTCTTCCTCTCTCTTCCTATCTCTCTCTTCCTCTCTCTCTCGTCCTCTCTCTCTCGTCCTCTCTCTCTCTCTCTTCCTCTCTCTCTCTCTTCCTCTCTCCCTCTGAAAAATACATTTAAAAAATTCACGCCTCTGGTGGTTTTTGAAAAAAATATTCTTCAAAAAATTCACGCCTCTGGTGGTTTATGAAAAAATATTCTTTAAAAAATCTACGCCTCTTTGGGTCCCTGAAAAATACATTTAAAAAATTAACGCCTCTGGTTGTTTATGAAAAAATATTCTTTAAAAAATTCACGCCTGTGGTGGTTTATGAAAAATATTCTTTAAAAAATCCACGCCACTGATGGTTGTTAAAAAAATATATTTAAAAATATCCACTCCTGTTTTCGTCTTTGAAAAAAATATATTTAAACAAATCCACGTCTTTGGTAGTCCTTGAAAAAATATTCTTTGAAAAATCTTGGAAAAATCCACGTCTTTGGTGGTGTTTGAAAAAATATTCTTTGAAAAATCTTGGAAAAATCCACGTCTTTGGTGGTGTTTGAAAAAATATTCTTTGAAAAATCTTGGAAAAATCCAAGTCTTTGGTAGTCCTTAAAAAAATATTCTTTAAAAAATCCACGCCTTTGGTAGTCTTTGAGAAAATATTCTTTAAAAAATCCACGCCTTTGGTGGCCTCTAAAAAATATTTTTTTATGAAAATCCTGGAATGTTTTAATTAAGAAAGAAATATTGAGGGAACCTTGGGCGTATGAATATTGTCCTTGAAAAAATATTCTTTAAAATCCACGCTTTTGGTGGTCCTTGAAAAAATATTCTTTAAAATCCACGCTTTTGGTGGTCCTTGAAAAAATATTCTTTAAAATCCACGCTTTTGGTGGTCCTTGAAAAAATATTCTTTAAAAAATCCACACCTGTGTTGGTTGTTGAAAAAATATTTTTTTTTTAAAATCCACGCCTCTGTTGGTTGTTGAAAAAAATATTCTTTACAAAAATCCACGCCTCTATAGGTTATTGAAAAAATATTTTTTTGAAATCAACGCCTCTTATGGTTGTTGAAAAAATATATTTTAAAAAATCCACGCATCAGTTGGTTGTTGAAAAAATATTTTTTAAAAAATCCACGCCTCTGGTGCTCCATGAAAAAATATATTTTTAAAATCCAAATATTTTTTATGAAAGGATTTTCATGCTTGGAAATATACATTTAAAAAAAGAAATGTTTGAAGGACCCTTGGGCGTATGACTGTTGTCAGTCATCATACGCCACCATGACCCTATTTCATTAAATATTAAATAAAATTAGTAATTTTTCTTCATTCAACTAATTCTTCTTTTATTTTTTCAGGTTCCATTAGCAACATTGATGATGCTGAGTACCACTGCAATAAGACTCAGGTCCGAAAGGTGATATCTGGCGTTGTGGGTGCTGCCTCTTCTGTAACTTCCATACAAGTTGCCAATTTACTGAGACTGTTTCGAATACCACAGGTGAGAGAAGTCGTTAAATTTTTATAAAATTAAAATTAATTTTTAAGCATTTGAGAGATAACCTCGGACAATTTTAGCTTCGAATTTTAAACATACATTTATGCTCAAATTAAATACCATAAATACCTCTAATGTCATCCTTAACCCCCCCTGTATCTCTCCGTCTCGTTTTTAATTCCACCCAAATTACACCTGCCATTGGCGGTAATTGTGATTAACATTGAAAAGTGAAAATGCACATTTGGCACGTACTTAATAAACTTTCAGCAGCTGAGAAAAGTCACGCTGCTGGGTTTTCTTTGTCATTTGAATTCATTAAATATTTCAGGGAAAGCCCTGAGAATTTCATTACAAATTGAATTTTTGTCAACCTTTACGGTTGTCGCACTTTCTGGCAAAAAATATGAACAAACCACAAAAAACAATCATACATGTGTTTCATACATTTATGTCCTACCCCCCAACCCCTCTGAGGTCTAATGGTCATGGCATGGCACTTGGAATTCAAGTCTCGTTGTCAGGAATTCCATTTGGGGTTTGGATAAATTACTGGTCTAGTTATTTGTCGTCCAGTTTTCTTTGTGTTTCTGCTGCTGCTGAATTATAACATTTGTCATATTTTCCTAGCCACAAGCGGTGAAAAACTGCAGAAAAAGGAGCAACCGCTGTGTAAAATATTTCGCCACATGCCTTAATTAAATAGTCACACACACACACAAAGAATGCCAGCACTGCGTGTCATTCACTGGCTCACGTCGAAATTTATTAAAGAAAAGAAAAAACAAGACTCAAATATAAAACAAAAATACCAAAACATTGTCAAATTTAGGAAAGATAGGACAAAGGACATAGAGAGTCATTGTTTTCCAGTCTCCCAAGTCCAGCCAGTGTTAATCTGTTAAAATGAAAGAGATAAATATAATTTATTATATTCGTTATAACAACGGGACATATTTTGGGAAAATCCATGGGAAATTATCTCTAATGCAGTGGAGAACAAGGGAAAATATATTCAGGACATTAATCAATATATCCTTTAGGGCTTGAGATTGCAAGGACATACACAATTTCCAAGAATTATTTCTCTGGATAAAAAATTCAAGTAAAGGGATCAGTGTGGCGTATGATGACTGACAACAGTCATACGCCCAGGGGTCCATCAACAAGACATATAATTTTGAAAATATATTTTTTCAAAAAATGGGTGGATTTTTTAAAGAATATTTTTAAAGGACCACCAAAGGCGTGGATTTTTTAAAGAATATTTTTTTAAGGACACCAAAGGCGTAGATTTTTCAAAGAATATTTTTCAAGGACCACCAAAGGCGTGGATTTTTTAAATAATATTTTTTCAAGCACCACCAAAGGCGTGGATTTTTTAAAGAATATTTTTTCAAGGACCACCAAAGGCGTGGATTTTTTAAAGAATATTTTTTCAAGCACCACCAAAGGCGTGGATTTTTTAAAGAATATTTTTTCAAGGACCACCAAAGGCGTGGATTTTTTAAAGAATATTTTTTCAAGGACCACCAAAGGCGTGGATTTTTTAAAGAATATTTTTTCAAGGACCACCAAAGGCGTGGATTTTTTAAAGAATATTTTTTCAAGCACCACCAAAGGCGTGGATTTTTTAGAGAATATTTTTTCAAGGACCACCAAAGGCGTGGATTTTTTAAAGAATATTTTTTTCAAGGACCACAAAGAATATTTTTTCAAAGACGAATACATTCGTAAATTTTTCAAAGAATATTTTTTTCAAGGACGAAAGCAGGCGTGGATTTTTCAGAATTTTTTTTCAACGACGAAAACAGGCGTGGATTTTTTATAGGATATTATGTCAAGAACCAAATTTTTTCGTTTCAAGGACGGCTAATCCTGAATTTCACAGAATACCTATTTAAGGATCTTTTATCCTGAAACTACTGTATATAATGTTTGCTCCAATGCCACATAAAACCCAACAATAATGAAAAAAAAATGAAATCTATTTAAAATGCAAGCGTTTTAGTTTAAGACAAGAACAAAGGACTAAATAAAAAACGGAATTGTTAAAAGTCACATCAACACATACAGAGAAACAAATATGTGTTAGTGAGCGTGTGTGTTCATCTGTCCCACCAACGGAATACGGTTTCAGTTGAAAAGACTTCAATTGCAAAATTGAAATTCATTTGGAAACCAAAATGAGGGGGGTTTCTCGATCTCGATTCTATTGTCACAAAATGCAATGCAATTGTATAATGATGTAATGAAAATAAAATGAAAAGAAAAAAAGAAAATAGAAGAATAAAAATAAATCAAATATGTTGATTGTGAATTGAAATGTTGCGTATATTTGTAATGGTGGAAGATAATGTAAAAATTGAGTGAAAAAATATTATTATGGAAGTAACAAAAGGATAATGGGAAGTTGTTAGTGTTTTGTTGAAATTTAAAAAGAAAAGATTTTTGATAGAAAATCTAGTTCGGAAATATCCACATTTTTTTTACTCAAAATATCCCTTTTGCTACGAAGTCCCTTTGAAAAAAAATTAAATATTTTTTTTATTTTTTGTGATCCCTCAAAGAAATCTTCGGGACATCATTTCTGTTTGTTCCTTAAAAAATATCCATAATTTTTTAATTTTTGAAAAAGTCAACTTTAATTGGTTTTTGATAAAATGTCTTTTGCAATTACACGTATAATGGCCCTTAAAAAATATCCTTTAAAAATCTAAATTTTGTGGTCCTTTTAAAAGTACACCTAAAATCTACTTTTGGGCTTCAAAAACATCCACCGTTGGTTCTTGAAACATATTCCTTAAAAATTCGACTGTTGATCCTTAAAAAAAATTGGACTTGAAAAATCCACTAATGGTCCTTGAAAAAATATTCTTAAAACCTCTTTCCAACATACACTCAAAAATTCACATTTGAAACTATTCTCCCTGAATTGGGTAATATTCCTCGAAAAATAACCTCACAATGTCTACCCTTGGTCCTTGAAAAGGTATTCGTATAAAATCCATATTTAGTAGTCCAAAGATCCTTGAAAATAAAATTTTAAAAATCCACGTTTTTAATAATTTAAGTTTGACAAATATTCCTAAAAAGTCCTTGAAAACTACCCTCCAGCAATTTATTTTGAATCGTCCACAATTGTTGGTCCTAAAAAAATAGACCGTAAAAGAACAAAGTTTTCTGGTCTTTAAAAAAATACTGCTGGTAAAAAAATCTTAAAAAACTCAACTTCTCTGTTGAAAAATATTCTTTAAAAAATCAATGTTTAAAGGTCTTCGGATTATTATCAAAAAAAAAGTCCAATGAGCCAATGATCCTTGAAAATAAAATTTTAAAAATCCACGTTTTTAAAAATTCAAGTTTGAAAAATATTCCTTGTCCTTGAAACTATCCTCCAACAATTTCTTGAATTGTCCACATTAGTTGGTCCTTGAAAAAGAAATAGTCCTTAAAAGAATCAAGTTTTTGGTCTTTGAAAAAAAAATAATGATTGGAAATTTTTTTTTTTAAAAAAATCAACTCCTCCGTTGGAAAATATTCTTTAAAAATCACTATTTGAAGGTCTTTAGATGGATATAAAATAAATAAAAAAAATTAGGCCTTTGTTAGTCCTTGAAAAAAATATTTTGTAAAAATATTTGTTGGTTTTGTAAAAATCACGCTTTTTTACAAAATATTTTTTTTAAGAACCAACAAAGTCGTGATTTTTTTTTTTTGATATTCATCCAAAGAACGTCAAACATTAATTTTTCAAAGGATATTTTTCAACAGAGGATTTGTGTTGTTAAGAATTTTTTTCAAAGCAGTATTTTTTAAAGACCCAAAAACGTGGTTCGTTTACGGACTATTTTTTTCAAGGATCAATTAAAAATGTTGGAGGATAGTTTTTTAAGGACCAAAATTGGACTTTTTAAGTATATTTTTTTCCAAAAAATAATCTTTAAAAAATCAAAGTTTGTTGGTCATTTCGTCCTTGAAAACATTTTCCTAAAAACATTTAAAATTTGAGATATTTTTTTAAATATTAAAGTTTATTGGTCTGATTGGTCCCTTGGTCGTTAGGTCCTTTTAAAGAAGTCTTGGTTGGTTGATGGAACTTTTGCCGGGTCCTTGGAAAATTTCTTTAAAAAATCCAATTATTTTTTGTTTGAGAGGTCCTTTAAGAAATTTCTTTATTGATCTGTAGGTCCTTTGGACGATAGACCCAGTGAAAAATTATTTGTTGGTCGATAGGACCTTTGAAAATTTCTAAAAAATCCTTTTTTATTTTTGGTTTTCCAGGTCCTTTAACAAAAAATCTCCCCTTTGTTAGTCCTTGCAAAAATATTTTGTTGGTTTTGTATTCGTCCAACGACCGTCAAACAGTGGTTTTTGTTCTACAAAAAATATTCTTTCAAAAATCAAAGTTTATTGGTCCTTTCGTCCTTGAAAAAAATATTCTTTAAAAAATATATATTTTTGTTCTTCAGGTCCTTTGAGAAATTTCTTTGAAAATTCAAGTTTATTGATCTGAAAGTCATTTGGTCGATAGGTCCTTTTAAAGAAATCTTGGGTGGTTAATAGATCTTTTGCCAGGTCCTTGGAAAATTTCTTTAAAAAATCATTTTTTTTTTTTTTTTTGTTTGAGAGGTCCTTTAAGAAATTTCTTTTTTGATGTAAATGTCCTTGGGCAATAGGTCCAGTGAAAAATTATTTGTTGGTCTATAGGACCTTTGAAAATTTCCAGAAACATTTTTTTTTGGTTTTCCAAGTCCTTTAACAAAAAATCTCGCCTTTGTTAGTCCTTGCAAAAATATTTTGAAAAAATATTTGTTGGTTTTGTATTCATCCAACGACCGTTAAACAGTGATTTTGATTCTAGAAAAATATATAAGTTTATTGGTCTTTGTAAATATAATCCTTGACAAGCCAAGTGTATTGGTCCTTTCGTCCTTGAAAAAATATTCTTTAATTTTTTTTTTTTTGGTTGACAGATCCTTTGAGAATGTTTTGTTAAATAT